AACAGGTGGCTCCATCCTGTGCCCTGCTCCGGCTTGGCAGTGCCTGCCCCTGCCCCTTCCCTCACCACGGAGGTGGTTGATCTGCCCCCCCATGCCTCTTCCCTTCCTCCTCCCCTTCCACTGCAATGGACTTACCAGCTGCACACAGCTGTATTGGAAATTGGATCGGTATCGATGATATTCCTCCTTAAAAATCGGTTATTGGTATTGGCCCCCAAAATCTCTATTGGTGTACCCCTAATCTGAAAAGAATGTTTTGTTTTTTTAATGAATTAACCAACAATAAGATTGTATGTGGTGGTTAGATACTAAATAATAAGGACATTAAAGTATGGAATGTGTTATTAACACACAAAATGAAAACTTGCAAATAATGTCACAAATCACTGTTAATTAAATTACTTTTCAATAACTTATACTAACTATTACTAGTATTGTTATACAGGTCACAAACCAGAGTCCTGTTTATGTAACAAACAAACAGGATCAAATCCATTTGGCTTTGAATTTGCTTTTGTTGGGGGAAAAAGAACTCATCCTCTGGACAAAGGGAAAAGTGTTGATCTTGAATGGACAAGGATACTTTATTTTGTATTACAGGATAAAGTTCTGACCCTGCAAATATACATGCAAATATTTACCTTTAGACATGTGAACAGACCTATTGAGTTTTCAGAGTCAAAGCTGATCTGTCTGCTAAATATCAATAAGAAATGCATGATGGTCTCAGAATGTATCTGTTGTTCAAAAGCGAAAGGATGGTCATATAGATAAGGCAATGAAATGGAGCTGTGTTCTCTTTGCCACATATTTCCTGTGTAAGGTAAATCATAGATTTCATAGACATTAGGGCTGGAAGGGACCTCAGAAGATCACTGAGTCCAGCCCCCTGCCTCAGGGGCAGGAAGTCAGCTAGGGTCAAAGGATCCCAGCAAGATAGGTGTCCAAATGTTTCTTAAAAGAGTCCAGAGTACGTGCTTGCAAGTGATTTAATACCTCTGTACCTCAGGTCTTGATCTACATACAAGGGAAACAGAATATTTTTTTTATCACAGTTTGTCTTCTTTCTTTAAATTCTTAAGTGTCAAATTCTTATGTACTATTTGTTAGCCCAGCATCTAACACAACCTTGGCTGACCTTGGTTGAAATTGGTAAGTGCTGCCATAATACAAAAGAAAGCGTAACATAGCCAATGTTTGCTATATGAGGGAAGGGAGGAATGGACAGAAAAACAAGTTTCAAAGCTATATACGTAAGTAATTACACAAACAATGTTAAAATCACCGGTGAGAATTTGTGCTATTAGGGCTTGTGCACTCATTTAACCAAAACAATATAACAGGACTTCTCCAACAAATAGAAAGCAAGCAACTCAGCTCATCTAGTGATTACTCACCAATAACTGGCTGAGAATTTTTTTTTATATCTTTATAGATTCTGAAAAAATTGTTGAATATTTGTCAGCAATAAATCAGAGGTAACCATAATCTTATGGGGTGCTTGTACATGTGCTGATGAGGTCATGTACACATGACAAAAAGTGATGAGAAATTGCTATTTGTCTAATGTAATGGCATCACCATGTACACTTGCATGATTTTTTTCATGACAAAATTTATTTGTGTGGCAACTTAGGCCACCTCTGATGTATTTTAGTTTGATCTGGGCTAATTAATAAAACCAGTCATGTGGACATGTCACACAGCTCCTGCTGCCTCCCTGTGCTGCCCCAGGAACAGGCTGGCTTGCCTCGGGGCAGTGCAGGAAGGTGGCAGGAGGGCAGCTGGCTGTGCTGGTAGCCAGAGAAAGTGACGGGGATGGTGCACAGGGCACTGGAAGCTCAGGGATGCTCAGGGAAGCTCAGGCTTGACGGGCTTCCAGCATCCCATGCACTGTTCCCACTGCCTTCTTTGGCTGCCAGCAAACCTAGTCTCCCTCCTGCCACCTTTCTGCACTGCCCAGGGGCAAGCCAGCCTGTTCCCAGGCAGCCTGTTCCCAGGCCGCACAAAGGTGGCAGGAACAGTGCATGAGGTGCTGGAAGCCCGTCAAGCCTGAACTTCCCTGAGCATGACCGGGCTTCCAGCACCCCATGCACCATTGGATTGGGCCAGGTGTTGCCTGTGAGCTGGGGCAGCACCCACACACCAGCACTCAGCCCAGGCAGCCCTGAGGGTTGATGCCACCATGGAGGGAAGGACCCACCCCCGCACTCAGGGGCTGAATTGCCTGGCAGCAGCTCATGCAGGCAGGCTCCACCGAGAAAAAACAAATTAAAGCGATGAGGGGCCCAATCCTTTTTTTTTTTCTCTCAAGGAGCCTGCCTGCATGGCTGGGGGTGAGCTATGAGCAGCCCCTGAGCTGTGGTGGGGAGGGGGGGGGTCCAGTCCTTTCCTCTGCAGCGGTGGTGCCCCCCAGGTGCTGCTCCTCACACAGGCTCAGGGAAGAGTTGGATCCAGCAGGTGCTGCCTCCGAGCTGGGGCAGTATCTATGGAGCTAGTACCTTGCCCAGGTGGCCCCAGGGAGCACCGCCACTGCGGAGGGAAGGACAGGGCCCCTCCACATGTCAGGGGTTGCTGGCAGCTCTCTTTCCAGCCATGGGAGAAGTGGGCAGGCTCCATGAGAAAAAAAATGATCTGGCCCCTTGCTGTTCTTTTGGTGGGTTTTTTTTTGGCGGAGCTTGCCTATGGCCGAGGGGAAGGAGCGGGGAAGGGTGGTGAGCTGAGCGGCTAGTGGGTCATCACTATTCCATAATAGTGATGGAAGCCCCTAAATTAAAATGGTTTTTCACAATTAAAAACCCACCAATTAAAATTCCACCATTTCCAATTTAGGGGAACTAAACCCCCTCCTCATGTATACAAGCACCCATGGATATTCAGCAGACACAAAGAGCAACTCAGTCCTTCAGGCACAAATTCATTGGGATGAATATTTACTGAACATAAAAGACACCTGGAATTAGATGGTGTCCACTGTGTCTGCCTTGAAATGAATATAATGGATGATGCCTCCCACTATGAAATGCAGTTCAAAAGACACCATTGAGATATTTCTTTTATATCTACAACCATGTAACTCGAGAGGATGAAAATGAATTACATGGTCCTAGCAACAAAATATCCATCTATTCTGAGGAATCACAGGGTTCTGCAATTATAGGGCTGCTCATCTATACACTGGACTGGCATTTTTCCTGGAAGGAAAAAAAATCATAGCATTCAGTAGTGTTGAGGTGATTTTGTTGCCATGATGGTCCAGGAAATATATGAGAAGCAATGATTCCTGTGGGTGATATCTTCAATTGAATGGCATGGCTGGGTACTAATGCCTGAGGAAGGGTCCTGAGGTGCTGTAGCAGGGCATGGGGCTGTGCCTCCTCCTTTAAGGGAGTGAGCAGCCTGTGAGACTGTTTTCAGGTGGTGCAGGGAGCTGATGAGGGGCTCACCTGACTGGAAGAGGGCTCAGGCTGGAGCTAGATAAAGTCAGAGCCTGAGCCAGTTGGGGGTCTCTCCTTGGCAGCCACAAGGTAAGGAGCTCTGGGCAGCAGGGTTCCTGAAAGGAGTGCAACTTAGAAACAACTCCACAGGCTTGGGAGCAGAGGCAAGCCCCCTGGGCAGAGAAGGACTGAGTTTTTACAGGCAAGTGGCCTTTGTTTTATTTTGAGCCCACGGAGGGTCCTGGTGCCCAGGGAAGGGCTGCATGCAGCAGCGGGGGTTCGGGAGCCTAGAGAAGGGGCACCACACAGGACTAGAGAGTCCAGGAGGAGATGGTGCAAGGTACCTGGGGGGTCCAAAGGCCCAAGGGGGGGCAAGTGTATGAATAGACAACATCATAGAGTGAACTTATAGAGTAAGGCTTAGGGCATGGTGTAGGGGAGGTAAGAAGCCATGCAAGGAGCCCTTAAGGTGCCTGGTGCCCAGCAGGGGTACAGACAGGCTGAGAGGGCCTGCTAGCCTGGAGGCACTAGACTGTGGGGACCCAGGAGAGGCCCAGTGAGGATGAACACAGGCTCGGGCTCATGTAGAGCCCACAGGCAGCCTCCCTTTTATAACCTTCATTAAGAGTAAGGTGGTGGGCAAGATTCGAGGGAAGGGCTGCAGCTGAGACTCAGACAGGCAGGGGCGTCATGGCCACCCCTGGGACCTCAACGTGTTACAGTGCCTGAAAACTTGCCTGTGTCTATCCCAACCATGCAGTTGGTCCAAAAAAAAATACTATGAGGATAGCATTCAGTGAGAGAGAAAGACCTAAACTGGAGAACTGGAGTTTTGTGCCTCTCAACATTACTGAACTCTGGGGACACTGAGGTTTCATAGATCAGTTTCCTAGCCAATGGTCCATCTCTAACAAAAAGCCCATGTACATGTATGAAGAATTATGTGTATTTTGAGATGTAGACATCCTTTAAAAATGCATAGAAGGGCAATTTTAGCACTTTCCAACCTTGACAACATTCATTAATATATAACACATCACACACCTCATCTGCTACAAAGTATGATATACTAATGTAAAGTAATTTTATACTAACATTGTCATTAAGTAATGACACATCTTTATTGGGTCTTATACTTTATAGGATAACTTGCAGCGTGAATAAAAGGAGGATAGTAGCCTATAAAGATATTGTCTGAAAGAAAAGGTGTAAAATAATATTTAGCAGCTTGTCTCCAAGTTTGTGGATGTACCTAGTTATAAGGACGGCCACATCATGGTGTATAGGGTTGACATCACTTTTAGGGTTGATGCTCTTCTGCCATTTACAGAAGCTGGCTAATGTCTTATCTGCATGATGAACAATTTTCAAACCTTGCTAAAGGAAAAAGAAAGAAAATATTATGAAGGCTGCATTTGCCAAAACACAGCAGCAATGTTAATTATGAAGCTCACTGAAGTCACTGAAATGTAGCTGATTATGCTTTTGCCCAAAGCAAGAACCATCATTAGAAGCAATGACAGCTATTTGTCTAACAGCCTGAACATTAAGCTGAAACTTTGTCATTTTTGCAACTAGTGAAATGAAAGGGGGGATAAAAAAAATCAAAAGCAGAAATTAGCATTTTTTGCAAGTGACTTTCATAAAACTAAGCTATCAATTGCTTTTTTTCAGAAATGACATTTTATTTTCTCCTTGGAAGTGAATATTCCTTTTGACACAGAGAATATGTAGATTAATTTGCTGCTGATTTGATGCTTATGTTTGTCACTCCTGATGTGTCAGAAACAAGCTCATGATCAGGTAACATTTTTAACATGTAAGGATACATTTCCTTCATACCATGTGTTAGAAAATTCTCCAAAAAATGAAGAGCAGTCATAGAAGAGGTTTATTCCTCATCTTATAACTGCATAAAATCAACATAATATGAATAAACAGAGTAGTTAAGCAAAATAAACTCTT